GTGAGGGAGCAGTTGGTGAATGTTGAAGTCTGCGGGACAGCCGTTGGGGAGGGTTCCTCCCCCACCCCCGCCTCCACCTCCGCCGCCGCCACCTCCACCTCCACCACCGCCTCCACCTCCACCATCTTCGCCACAATCTCCTTCTCCGCCATTTTCATTGTCCTCGCAGTCGCACCCATCACCACTGCCTCCACCCCCACCTCCACCTCCACCGTCACCTCCATCGCCACCTTCACCGCCACCGCCATCGCCGCCATCACCTCCCTCGCAGCCAGCATTCCATGGCCAATCACAAACCTGCAAGTGAAAAGTAACTTTTTTTAATATTTTGTATAATAGTAACAGGTTTTTCTTTCTTTAGCTCTTAGCTTTTGTTACAAATGCATTTCTAAAAGTATTCATCTACATATATGCACCAAGGCGGCAATCGTATAATTTATGCCTAAGGCATTCTTCATCAGCCAACTAAATAAAGGTGGCGTTGAGAGAACCGCGGCAGGTGTGTTGTCAAAATCTACACCACAAACTTTTGTATACCGGTTTAAATACCAGTAATATTGTTACGCTAAGCCAACAGAGCCCATGGACAGAACATTACGACTGCTGTTGTCCACTTTGGGCATGAGCCAAAGTCTAAATCAAACGCGCATGGCTTTCAGATAAAAAAAAATTGTGGACAATTAACAAAAACTTTGGACCCCTTTTTACGAAAATTGCGCGGACGGAGGAGTATGAACGTTTCCACACTTATAGTTTATATCGAGAAGGAGTGCAGAATGTTATTTTTTTTTTAAATTAAATCAATAAAAAAAACATGATACACTACCATGTATTTGACATACACACGCAAATATACACTTTTGTGTATTGTTAAAGTCTGTGGTCCAATTGAGAACAGATTAATATTGTTTGTCTTTAATATTATTTGTAGTGTAGCCTTGGCGAAATCTGTGATTAAAGAAGTATAGTCTTTGACAATAGAATCGTAATAATGTTCAAAGATAAAATTTAAATTAACTAGAGGTCCCGCAGTAGTCGAAATTCGACTATAATTAATTGGAATTGTAAGTTTGTACACTATTATGATTGTATTTTATACTTCTATAATCACAAATTTCGCCAAGACTACACTATAACAAATATTAACAAAGACAAACAATATTTAATCTATTCTCAATTTGACAACAGACGTCAAGAACAAAAGTTTCACAATCAATAGTATGCATGCGTGTGTGCGTCAAATACATGGTCTGTAGTGTGTGTAATGTTTTCTTTATTGATTTAATGTATCTTTTATGCATTATTTTAAAAAAATATTTGCATTGTGCACTTCTTCTCTATATTCTCTATAAGTGTAGAAAATTTCATGCTCCTCCGTCCGCGCAATTTTCGTAAAAAGGGATACAAAGATTTTGCTTCACGTATTAATATATAGATTATGATCGATTTTTGACGGCTGGGCGACCACTAGTTATAGGCACTTGGCCACTAATGACTGTAGTATCTTTTTAGGATACACATGTGTTCACCCTGTTTTTTCCAACTCCTAAAACCGTCACTAGAGAGCGCTGTAATACGCAAATCCGTTGTCATGATACCCTTGTCAGAAGTGACACTGTATCCGTAGATTATTGATTTTTTATTGAATATACAAGTTTTTCTAATCCAAGTTTATTTTCATAATCATCCCTCGGAAAGTCGAACATGGTCCAATACGAGCCGGATAGGAAAACAACTAATGATAAACAATAATTTGTTAGTGCAAAAGAACGTTACAAGCCGTAATTAACACAAAACTATTTCGTTGCTAAGTACTAGTGAATGTGAAGAATGGGCCCGGACAGTTATATTAAATTACAAACCGATGTTCAAAATAAGATATTAATTTCAAAAAGTCACCTGCGTCTAGAATAACAAGGGAATATACGACAAATGATTGCTTGCACGCTTTATCTAATCTTGGTATACCTGTATCGACATGGGACATCCTGATAATATATCTCATCACAATAAAATTGGATAATGAATCCCGGAAACAATGGGAACAAAAACTAAGCAAACAGGCTGATCGATTGCCTACACTAAGCGAGTTCCAATCATTCCTGGAATCAAGATATCGAGCACTCGAATATTTAGAACCAAACCAAAGAAGAGAGTCTAGAGGCAAAGATGCAGTGGATAAACCGAAGGTGTTCAGCGTGACGACGTCTGTATCCTGCCCATTCTGTTCGGAAGATCACTTGCTTTATCAATGCAAGAAATTTGTACAAGAACCCATCGAGAATCGCCGGGAGTTCATCCAGAAGAGAAAACTGTGTTTCAATTGCTTCGGAGCTAACCATTCGGTAATACAGTGCAAACGACGCACGTCTTGTCGGTGCTGTGGCCGACGTCATCACTCGCTGCTGCACCAGGAAGGCGGCACTCACAATCCGGCCCTGGCGGGTCCTAGTCAGCCCACTAATCAACAGCGGGAGCCAGCACAAGAACCGCAGGCAGCGGATCACGTGGAGCGTGTTGTCAGCCATTTTTTCTAACAGTGAAATGAGATCAATTAGTCGAGTAATGTTAGCTACCGCATTAGTTAATGTATCCAGCAAGGCTATGTATCACACACTTAGGACATTGTTGGATCAGGGCTCTCAAGCCTCGTTTATAAGTGAACACGCAGTTCATCTTTTGCAGCTTTGAAGGTTGCCAGTTCGAAGTACCATATCTGGTTTAGGAGGAGAAAAATCCAGTATTTCAGTAAAACATATGGTTCAATTTAAAGTACAGTCCACATCTATCTATCAGCTATCCCGTTCAAGCCTATGTTTTAAACTGCCTAACATCCACTCTTCCTTCACAGCAAATTCAATTTCAGGATTGGCCGGAATTGTTGCAATTGCAGATGGCTGATCCAGGATATGGTACACCAAGCAATATAGATCTTCTACTGGGCGCTGATGTGTATGGTCAGGTTTTGTCAGAAGGCATATTGAGAAATCCATCTGGAACCTTGACAGCTCAAAATACACAGCTGGGATGGATCCTGTCGGGACGAGTTTAAGTTAGTGGGGATACTCCTTACATTATTAGCGCACATACCCATGACAACTCAATCAATGATTTGCTGCGTCAGTTCTGGGAGATTGAAACTGACTAGCATCATCCACTTTTATCCAAGGAAGAAGAATCCTGTGAAAGATACTTTGAATCCACTACAACTAGGGACAGTTTGGGTCGTTATGTTGTAGGTCTTCCTTTTCGCGACAACAATCCACTTGCTCAAGAAGAAACTTGAAAATAATCCAGTCTTGAAGCAAGAATAATCCAAGGTAATAAATGTAGCCACCTGGCTATGAATCATATAGAAGTAATTAATGACAAACAAGAAGCTGCTAAGCCAGGATGCGTTTATCTACCTCATCATGCAGTTGGTTGTTCGCGAGGACAAAAGTACAACGAAGGTCGGCGTTGTTTTCGACGCTTCGTGTAAGGGTACCAGCGGCAAGTCATTGAACAATGATTTATTGGTAGGTCCAAGGCTTCAACCAGAGTTACGACACATAATTATGAAATGGCGTACTTATCCTATATGTTTCGCAGCGGACATAGTTAAGATGTATCGAATGGTCAAGGTCGTACCAGAGCATACTGACTTCCAGATAATGTCACAAGGGTACTATCAAATGTAAGAAATCTAAAATTGTAAGACCAGTCTCCAAACTTTGCATTTTGCCTATCGCTTTTTAACATTACTTACCTGAATAACTGTAGATATTTCATGCAATGTATGTAACTTAAATGTATCTTTGGATGCATCAGCTATTAAGTATTTTGTTATTGTTTAGTTGTAAGTAAGTACGAACTGTTTAAAAGCAACCCTTGACTGAACTTTGTCGTTATTATGGTTTCTTTAATGTGTAAGTTTATATTTAGTTCATGTTGAGCAGTTCTTTATTGATTACTATTAGGTTAAGATGTTACGGTTTCATGGAGATGTTAATTGTACATGTAAAATTTGATGGCCTCATTGTTGGCTATGAACTTTTGTAGTTCATGGTGGGCGGAATGTTCACCCTGTTTTTTCCAACTCCTAAAACCGTCACTAGAGAGCGCTGTAATACGCAAATCCGTTGTCATGATACCCTTGTCAGAAGTGACACTGTATCCGTAGATTATTGATTTTTTATTGAATATACAAGTTTTTCTAATCCAAGTTTATTTTCATAATCATCCCTCGGAAAGTCGAACAACATGTTTAGTAACCGAGGTTAGGTAGAGAAATAAGTTGTGGAATCCACTAATGTACAATCCGCTTCAGGGATACCCCAAAACTAGAAGTAGACTGCAGTTAGTTATCATAGCGCATTTATCTCGTGGTATTTGTTACAATTTTTTTTCGTGGTATGCGTAATTTTTTTTTAAAAATCATGTTAAATTTAAATACAGGAAAACGAAGCTTGAAAAGGTATTTTTATCTTTACGTATTTACAAAAATCTAAATTTGATTTTGAATACATCATAAAAATCAATTGCGTATCATATAATATGAACTAAAAACAGATGAAGGAAAAATAATACCAAAAGAAGATACTGAATATTCCTTCTCTATAGCCCCTTGTAGTGGATACGCTACTGGAGATATGACCTGAGGAGGGGTGACGTCAGGCGGCCACTAGACCCTGTGCGGTGTGATGAGGGGACAAGAGGACAAGCTTTTTTTTCCGCCGAATCCAAACCTTCTCCGAAGTGCCAGCGCCTAGGGTAACGCGGGGTATGTGAGACTTGACGATCTGCAGATGTTGAGACCAAACCGCGAGCCCAAGGAGTTTTAGGGCCATACCTAACTAAACGACTCCCCTGCACTCTTACACCCGACGTCCGATGTCCGCCCGGGATCAGAACCCGGTCAGATTAAGGGGGTTCCCGCGGTCAACACTACAACCAGACTCTTGGCACCACCCTTAGGACGCCCGACCGACGGGTCGTCGAGGCGATAGTCGACGACAAACGACGCATTATAGATGTCTCTTCAGCTTGAGATGACTAGTTGCGTCCCCACAGAAATATAAAATTTAAAATGTCTTGATTGATTAACTTGAATATTAGATTGGACATCCTTTCTCTCCAAGATATTCAATGGGTAACACACTTTAGACTGCCCAGTAAGCAGTTCAAGACGAAGCGCTATTGACGATCTGTGGTAGTTAATCTAATAGAATACGAATAGAATACAGCATAAGTGAACTCACTTGGAGGACGGGGTTGAAGTGCAGGTCGCCGGAGCATCGGCGTTCAACTTTCTCTCCGTGGACGCAGTAGTAGAAGCGGTTACAGTCGTACTCGTGAGGGAGCAGTTGGTGAATGTGGAAATCTGCGGGACACCCGTTGGGGAGAGTTCCTCCCCCACCCCCGCCTCCACCTCCGCCGCCGCCTCCGTCTTCTCCACTTTCGCCACCGTCTCCACCATCGTTTCCGCCGTCACCAGCGCAATCAACGTTCCATGGGTGATCGCAAACCTAAACATGTTCGTAATACGTTACGAAACTGTAGCTTGGTATAATTATGTCATCCAAATAGACAACACCAAATACTCTTAATCCCTAAAGAGTATGTTTTGTTCGGTTTTATTTTTATTTTTTATTGCTTAGATGGATGGACGAGCTCACAGCCCTCCTGGTGTTAAGTGGTTACTGGAGCCCATAGACATCTACAACGTAAATGCGCCACCCACCTTGAGATATAAGTTCTAAGATCTCAAGTATAGTTACAACGGCTGCCCCGCCCTTCAAACCGAAACGCATTACTGCTTCACGGCAGAAATAGGCAGGATGGTGGTACCTAACGGCGCGGATTCACAAGAGGTCCTACCACCAGTATTTACGCAAATTATAATTTTGCGGGTTTGGATTTTATTACACGATGTTATTCCTTCACCGTGGAAGTCAATCGTGAACATTTGTTGAGTACGTATTTCATTAGAAAAATTGGTACCCGCCTGCGGGATTCGAACGCCGGTGCATCGCTACATACGAATGCACCGGACGTCTTATCCTTTAGGCCACGACGACTTCAAATTCGTGTAATATTATTATCAAATTGGAGTCGAAAGCGATTTTTAGGAGCACAATCAGTTAAGCACTTAAACAAGACACAAAAGTTGTGTTGACACGTTAATTGCCATGGCGCTAACAATGATTCCGGTCCCAGACGCCATTTTATTATAAAGTTATGTATACCATGGTCACGACCCTCAGTAATGAGGAAGCGACGAAGAAGAAGAAGAAGAATACCATACTATTAAAAACGTTAATTATAGCACACATTGATCAACAATTTACTGGTGGTAGGACCTTATGTGAGTCCGCGCGGGTAGGTACCACCACCCTGCCTGTTTCTTCCGTGAAGCAATAATGCGTTTCGGTTTGAAGGGTGGGGCAGCCGTTGTAACTATACGTGAGACCTTAGAACTTATATCTCAAGGTGGGTGGCGCATTTACGTTGTAGATGTCTATGGGTTCCAGTAACCACTTAACACCAGGTGGGCTGTGAGTTCGTCCACCCACCTAAGCAATAAAAAAAAAATTGTTTATGATTTAAGATTTTTTTTGTTAATTTAGTAATTTCTGTGGATTTTCTTCTCACTTCTCACTCCAGAGACCACTTGTTCATATTTACAATGTTTTGACGACAGCCACGAGGCCAGAAGAGATATCTATGAAGATTATTTGTTGGCGTTCTGGGTAGGTTAGCCTAAGAGATACCTTTTAGTCACAAGTCAACGCGGTGACGTCGCCTTCTTTCCGGTTTTGAGAGGGAAAGAGCCAATACAGTTGAGACTTCGATTTCACGCCCAGCTGACGTCTTGTTCCTACGTCAGTTGTAGACTGTCAGCTTAGATCGCACGCCGCGACTAGACCTTCATAATAAACATGGATAAAATCTCTTGCATACCTGAATTTTATAGTTGAAGTAAGTCCCCGGGGCGCACTTCCTTTCCACCTTGTCCCCGAAAACGCAGTAGTAAAACTTATTGCATTCCTCGTGGGGCAAAAGTTTGTGGATGTGGAAATCAGCTGGGCAGCCATTGGGTAAGGTTTCGCCTGGATTAACAGGGGGCTGGATGGGGGGCGCTGGTGGGGCTGGTATGGGGGACTCGGTTGGAGGTTCCACTGGAGCTTGAGTAGGTGCTGCTGTGGGAGCAGCCGTCGGGAGCTCTGTTGGGGGCTCCGTTTGAGGCTCTGTTGGGGTCTCCGCTGGAGCTTGAGTAGGCGGCGCTGTGGGAGCGACCGTTGGGGGCTGTATTGGGGGCTCCGTTTGAGGCTCCGTTGGGGTCTCCGCCGGAGCTTGAGTAGGTGGCGCTGTGGGAGCGGCCGTCGGAGGCTGTGTTGGGGGCTCCGTTTGGGGCTCCGTTGGAGCTTGAGTGGGAGCCTGCGTTGGAGCCTCCGCAGGTGGACTGTCTGTCGGTCGACCCGGCAGATTGCAGTCAGCTTGTGCCGGATGCACACAAACCTATTGAGGAAAGTAATGTCAAAAATGAGAGTTGTTAAATGAAGATTTAAAAACAAAAATTGTAATAAACTAAAGAGTTGAAAGAGACTGTTGTGCTGTAATCCTGAGCATATTTAATGATTAAAAAAACGTACTGTCTATATTTTTTTATTACGCACTGTCTATCTGATCGCATTACGTGCTATTTAAGATTTGTATGACAATTCCATCTATGTTTTCAGTTTTCAATTTATTTCATTGCTCATTCACTTTATGCATTACAGCAAAATCTAATCGTGATAACTGCATAATCTTATATAAAGAATCAATGATATATCGTATCGTTTAATTGTCCGTTCAAAGTGGTTTAATGTTGATAAAAACATCCGTTATTAATTAGTGTTTTCGCAGATCGAATATGATACAATTGACACAAAGAGATTTTGCGGTCGATAGAATAATTAAAATTTTTAATGATAAGTTATGATATCGCTCTTACATCATTTGCAACTGCATAACATTAAGCGCGATACGTTTTTGAATAAATGAAAATTCATATAAATCGGATAGATTTTCGTAATGGTTTTAATAGACTTAAATATTAAAGCCATAAACCCAAATATTAAAGACACACGAAGTCGTCGTGGCCTAAAGGATAAGACGTCCGGTGTATTCGTATGTAGCGATGCACCGGTGTTCGAATCCCGCAGGCGGGTACCAATTTTTCTAATGAAATACGTACTTAACAAATGTTCACGATTGACTTCCACGGTGAAGGAATAACATCGTGTAATAAAAATCAAACCCGCAAAATTATAACTTGCGTAATTACTGGTGGTAGGACCTCTTGTGAGTCCGCACGGGTAGGTACCGCCGCCCTGCCTGTTTCTGCCGTGAAGCAGTAATGCGTTTCGGTTTGAAGGGTGGGGCAGCCGTTGTAACTAGGTATACTGAGACCTTAGAATCTCAAGGTGGTTGGCGGCATTTACGTTGTAGAAGTCTATGGGCTCCGGTAACCACTTAACAACAGGTGAGCTATGAGCTCGTGCAACCAAATATGCAATAAATAAAAACGATAGAAAATAGAGTCAATATCTACAACGTACAGACACACCCCCTTTCGCGTAATAGTGTTAGGGAAGATAAAATGATTGTAAAATGCTAAGTTTGACTGGACTATCATAATCACAATGGGATGTATTGATAATGGCTTCGCAAAAAATCTTAACGATAACAGTGGCCTGAATTCGTTAACCTAGTGGAATCTTTGACGGAAAAACTTAAGGACAAAACATAGCTATTTTGTTTATTTTTTAATTTTTTTTTATTACTTAGATGTGTGGACGAGCTCACAGCCCACCTGGTGTTAAGTGGTTACTGGAGCCCATAGACATCTACAGCGTAAATGTGCCACACACCTTGAGATATAAGTTCTAAGATCTCAGTATAGTTACAACGGCTGCCCCACCCTTCAAACCGAAACGCATTATTGCTTCACGGCAGAAATAGGCGGGGCGGTGGTACCTACCCGTGCGGACTCACAAGAGGTCCATAAGTAATTACGCAAATTATAATTTTGCGGGTTTTGATTTTTATTACACGATGTTATTCCTTCACCGTGGAAGACAATCGTGAACATTTTGTTAAGTACGTATTTCATTAGAAAAATTCAGTAGAAAAATAGATACGAATGCACCGGACGTCTTATCCTTTAGGCCACGATGACGATTTGTATTGATATATCGGGTAGTTTTCTAGCTATGGCAGAGATTTAAAGGATGCCTCCTGGCCGAGCCTTTGCTCGCCCACCTGTCCTCCTGGTGAAACTGGAAAGGCCTCCGGGCCACCAGTAATCATTCAATCATAAAAAAAAGATTTAAAGGAAGCCCCTATTCCGAGTACCGTGACCAACATACTAGGCTGCACTAAAAGTATCGGGAACGGAATATTTCCACTGTTCCTGTCATATTAAAATCTTTTTAATTGAAAACTCCTTGGTTTTAAAAATCGAATACCATTTATTTATTTAAAAAAAGATTCTCGGTCTTGTCACGAGGTTTTGTCAAACTTGTTTAGTCGTTGAGAAAATGGAATTGACTCGAGAAAATTCAAAAGCGATGATTTATTATGACTTTCGAAGTGGTTTAACACAAAAACAGTGTGTTGACCGGATGATTTCTGCATTTGGTGATGAAGCCCCATCCAAAACCACAATATATCGCTGGTTTGCTGAGTTTCAACGTGGACGTGTCAAGCTCAGTGATGATCCCCGTTAAGGTCGTCCAAAAACTGCAGTCACCCAAGAAAACGTTGATGCTGTGCGTAAGCTGATTGAGGAAGATCGACATGTGACATACCGCGAAATTCAGGCAACTTTAGACATTGGCATGAGTCAAATACAAATAATCTTGCATGAACAATTAGGTGTAAAAAAGTTGTTTTCCCGATGGATACCGCATTCGCTCTGTGAAGAGCAAAAAGCGGCTCGCGTTACTTGGTGCGTCAGAACTCTCGAAAGATTCCACGCAGGATCCTCAAATGCTGTATACAACATTGTATCAGGTGACGAATCCTGGATATACGCGTACGAACCCGAAACAAAAAACCAGTCACGAGTTTGGGTGTTCGAAAATGAGTTAAAGCCAACAAAAATTGTTCGTTCACGGAGTGTTGCAAAAAAAATGGTGGCCACGTTTGTCTCCAAAACCGGCCATGTTACGACTATTCCTCTTGAGGGACAAAGAACGGTTAATGCAGAATGGTATGCTAGCATTTGTTTGCCACAGGTCGTTTCTGAACTCCGTAAAGAGAACTGCAACCGCCGCATCATCCTCCATCACGACAATGCGAGTTCTCACACCGCGCACAGAACAAAAGAGTTTTTAGAGCAAGAAAACATAGAATTATTAGACCATCCGCCGTACAGCCCCGACCTAAGCCCTAATGATTTCTATACTTTCCCTAAAATAAAGAATAAATTGCGTGGACAGAGATTTTCATCACCTGAAGAAGCTGTGGACGCCTACAAAACGGCCATTTTGGAGACCCCAACTTCCGAATGGAATGGTTGCTTCAATGATCGGTTCCATCGTATGGAAAAATGTGTCAAATTTCGCGGAGAATACTTCGAAAAGCAATAAATACATTTTTAAATAGTAATGTTGTGTCACTTCGTTAATTCCCGAAATTTTCAGTGCCGCCCTCGTATAAGACGTAAATACATTCGGAAGTCGCGGCCTAAACGATAAGATAAGACTGGTCTGACTGCCCGTGTCGAAATCCGGCAGGCGAGCAGCAATTACTCTAATGAAATACGCATTCAATACACGTATATACAAATGACGATACTTCGATAAGGCTATGCGTCATGATAATCGCCTTATCGTTGCCGCCGCTGACTACTCCCCGAATCCTGATCACGCAGGAGCCAGTCACCGTCGAGGCCCTAGACACGTCCTTACGGATCCATCAGATCCAATAACCTTTGCATTAGACGCCTTCAGCTCTAACACTAGGAGCAGGCTTAGGGACCTCGGTAACCGTACTCGTCGAACTCGACAAAGAATTCGCCGTGCAACCTAACTCATGAATCAGCTCGCTGAGTTTCTCGCCGGATCTTCTCAGCGGGTCGCGATTCCGATCCGGTAGTAGATTCATTCGCGAAGCAGCTACTCTTGAGCTGTTAGGTCTCCTTCGGAGGCGCTCGGGTAGCTGTTAGCAAATGCCACCCCTCCTGGCTGAGCCTTTGCTCGCCCACCTGTCCTGGTGAAACTGGACAGGCCTCCGGGCTACCAGTAATCCTTCAATCATAAAAAAAAAACTAACTAATAGCATACCTGCAAAGCAGCTGAGAATTCCGTTCCCGGGGCACAACTTCTGGGCGTCGACCATTTCTGGCCGTATTCGCAGTAGTAAAACAACGTGCAGTCGTATTCGTGGGGTAGAAGCTTGTGGCCTTTCTCAGGACAAAGGTCTGAGGGCTCGTGCCTTCTGGTTAGCTCATCTTGAGGCCGGCCCTGGACAATCACCAGGGCGGTCAAGACAAGGAATTTTTCTGGAAGAAGAGAAACGGAATAATTCTACTTTTGAATCTCACGAGTGAATTTATGGAGTTGTGTTGATCGGGGACCAGTTCCGATGCACTAAAAGGCTTTGTCTTCACGTCTCAAGGTAAGAGGCGGCATTCGGTCTGTGACGTCCATTGTCTTCTGTATACACTTTACAGTTAGCGTGGTATGGACATGTGATGCGTAGAGAGAAGATGCATGTGACTAGGAGATGTATGGAAATGGTAGTGCAAGGTAGAGAGGTCGACCGAAGAAGACATGGATGGAGTGGGTGAATGACGATATGAGAGAGAGAGAGGGGAGTGAGTGTTGAGATGACAGCTCATAGAAGAGAAAAATTAGCTGTGCCGACCCCACCTAGTGGGATAAGGTGGGACGCAGCTTACGATTCGTCCACTATCATTGGCTGCCGGAGTCTTTAGGCACGATAACTAAGTTGCTGTCGCCCACTTGCAGATGTAAGTCTGTCACAAGTGCTTAACGGCCGTCTGGTGTAGTGGTAAGCGACATGGTCACTACAAAAGGGGGTCGCGGGTTCGAATCCCGCCAAGGGAGGATATTTGTATGATAAATATAAAATGTATTTTCCAGGGCTATGGATGTATATTAAATATATGTATGTGTGTAATAAAAATCTTACATTTATTTCCGTTATCCGGTACCTGTAACACAAGTTCTTTACGAACTTATCACGGGACCAGTTAACGTGGCGTGATTGTTAGTAAATATTTATTATTAAAAAAAAAGTATACCGGTTGTCCCCTTCAAAACAGAAATAATGGGTGCCCTACAGCAGATACGATCAGGTTGCTTGTACCTACCCAGATAGGTACTTGGGATACGCCATACAACACACCAGGTGGACCGTTTTTATTATTTTTATTGCCCATTTTAGGAACGAGCATACGGCCCACTTGATGGTGAGTGGTTACCATCACTCATCGACGTCAGCAATGCCAGGGGCAGAGCCAAGCTGCCTATGGCAACGGTAGTCCTTTCTCCATTACAGCAAAAAGGAAGCTATATTTAAAAAGAAATCGGCGTAGAAAATGTTGTAAAAAAAACCGATACGACCTTCAAACAAATAGAGCCGTGATAACAGAGCATTCTTGTTTATGGATATTGCGGTTCGGATTAAAATATTCAAGATACGCAATCTTTCAATTATCACAGATTACCGTGAAGGAAGCTACCTGTATTAACACGTAAAAAAAGTCGATAGCGATAATCTTTAGTTTGAAAAAGACACTTATATTGACCAAATGCGAATCGTTGAAGACAAAATTAACCTAAATCTGATGTTCGAATCGTTTCAAAACTTCTTCTTCTTCTTATCAGGCCATGGACGTCTACTGCTGGACATAGGCCTCCCAAAAGCCTCGCCACAAAGACCGGTCCTGCGCTGTCTGCATCCAGCGGATCCCCGCGAACCTCAGCAGATCGTCGGTCCATCTTGTGGGAGGCCTACCCAGGCTACGTCTTCCGGTACGCGGTCGCCACTAAAGAACTTTCTGGCCCCAACGGCCATCCGTTCTACGAGCAATGTGTCCTGCCCACTGCCACTTCAACGTCGCAATCCTTTGGACCATGTCGGTTACCATGGTTTTCCTGCGTATCTCCTCATTTCTGATTTGATCTCGCAGGGAAACTCAGAGAAAAACCCTCCCCATTGCTCTTTGGGTGACCTTGAGCCTTCTCACAAGGCCCATTGTGAGCGACCACGTCTCAGTGCCATATGTCATCACTGGCAACACACACTGGTCAAAGACTTTCGTCTTGAGACACTGTGGTATTTGTGATGAGAAGATTTTACGAAGCTTTCCGAACGCTGCCCATCCGAGCTGGATTCGACGGTTGACCTGCTTTTTTCAAAACTGCCACAGTCTAATTTAAGCCTTACTTAGTACTGATTGAAGTATGCGTTTTCAATAACCGATTATATATTTGTCTTTTTTTCAGTTTAGACTTATTTTCGTTTTGCGAATCTCTGCAATCGAGAAGATAAACGTGTAATGAAAACTTTCAGTTATTACAGGCGCATTAATTTAATTTTTGAAGTGAAGTATCTTTAGGCGCATGAGGGTAAAATTTTTACAGAACGTCACGCAGGTATGCAACGGAAGTGACGTCAAACTACTATTAAAATTAACTACTTGTCAAATGTCAGTAGTAGTTGTTGTTGTATTTTTCCAACTGGAAAGGCAAATGTATCATACCATGCAGCCTAATATTTTATAATTTTTATGTAAAAAATGTTAATAGGAATTGAAATGAAATGAAAAGAATTTGGAACATTAGTCAAATAGCACGAAATTAAATTAGTCAATTCAATTGGCAAAATATTAGTCATTTACAATTTAGAAATCTAAACAGAGATCTAATCTAGAAATGTGACTGTCAACACTGAGGTTTGAGATTGACATTTGACAGACTTTTGGCGGGAACATATCTTCCTTTTTCCCTTCGTCTAAGTCTCGGAAATCTAAAGTTTTAGATTTGTATAAATATAAGCAAGACTCATAAATTAGTTCGCCAAAAAAGTTTCACTTCTGACATGTGTACTTTGTACGCACGCACTTTTTTATTGAAAACAAACGCGTAGGTAGTTCATTTTGTCTACACAAAACGGAAGCAGGCTGTGAGCACTTAGAACGTTCCAAAAGTTCCAGTTACGTCACAACCGGCTAAAGCGGTAGGCTTCTAGAATAATCTTTGAAATTCGAAAGAAAGATTATTTGAAACGGTTTTTTTTTATTGCCCTTGTAGGCAGACGAGCATACGGCCCACCTGATGGTGAGTGGTTACCGTCGCCCATGGACTTCAGCAATGCCAGGGGCAGAGCCAAGCCGCTGCCTACCGTAAACGTGTTATAAATACCATATCGTTTGGGTGATTTAATTGAATAACAATTTATGGCCGTTGCTTAGTAGTGAATGATTTATTCGGATATAAATAAAAATGAGAAAATAAGGTTACATGAATCACAACATGGACGTCTTGTGAGTCCGCACGGGTAGGTACCACCGCCTTGCCTATTTCGGCCGTGAAGCAGTAATGCGTTTACTGTAAAAACTCAAGATAGACGGCGGCATTGACATTGTTGATATCTATCGGCTCCGGAAACCACTTAACGCCAGGTGAGCCGTGACCACGTCCACTCATAAAAGCAATATATATATAAAAATTAACTAAGGGCATTATCGATACGGACTCGTGAAAGCGGAAAATTGTGAAAGCTTCTCGGTTAGTTTATATAGAAAGCACTAGCGTTGCTTATCAACTGAGTCGTCTATTATCAAAGGTGGCAATCTGTGCATTTGGACAAAAAAATGTTATTAATATGTCAATACAGATTGATTTGAATATAATCGTCTCCTTCAAAGAATACGGTTCAAAACCTGCATTAACTAAAGGTTAATACTTAACCTGTTATTTATCTAAGATGTCGTTCAGAAGAGTTCTGTGACTGCCAATGGAATACAAGCTCAATAATTCGTTTTTCTGATTTACCAATAATTGTCCAAAAGTCACATTGCCGGCTTTGATAATAGTCGACTCAATTATTCAAACTTTTGATACGTACTCAACATGGCAGCGCCAAAGGACGCGTGACTTCTGTATTTACAAAAAAAAAAATCCAGCACTTGATGTAATTACACTTCCAACAACCTAAGACTTAATGTCGTAACTAATTCGCATATTACATTTTTATACGCGCGGTAATTTAATTAGGTGGTCGACGATAATCTTTTATCATATGAATACTGAATACAGATAATGGATAAGCTTTGTATTACATGTAAACAAGTCGGTTGATTGTTTGTTTATCTCGAAGTGTCCCTAAACAGGAAGACTGTTAGGAGCAGCCTCTATTTCAGATCTTTAATAAGACTAGAGGTCCCGCAGTTGTCGAAATTCGACTATAATTAAATTGGAATTGTAAGTTTGTACACTATTATGATTGTATTTTATACTTCTGTAATCACAAATTTCGCCAAGGCTACACTATAAAAGATATTAACAAAGACAAATTCTATTCTCAATTTGACAACAGACGTCAAGAACAAAAGTTTGACAATAATAGTATGCATGCGTGTGTGCGTCAAATACATGGTATGTACTGTGTAATGTTTTCTTTATTGATTTAATGTATCCTTTATGCATTATTTAAAAAAAAATATTAGCATTATGCACTTCTTCTCTATATTCTCTATAAGTATGGAAAATTTCATACTCCTCCGTCCGCGCAATTTTCGTAAAAAGGGATACAAAGTTTTTGCTTCACGTATTAATATATAGATTGATAATGAAAATTAGACGATGACATTTTGTTTTAATTCTTTCATATAAATTCAAGAGCTGTATCTCCTTAGCACGGTTTATCATATTCCACGAATTCCTAAAGAGCGCGATAACTAGCTGATTAGGAAATGATTGGTGAAAAAATCATTATTACGATGCAAATGTTTCAATCAATAGTTCTTTTTTTATTATTGCTTAGATGGGCGGACGAGCTCACAGCCCACCTGATGTTAAGTGGTTTTAGGAGCCCATATACGTCTACGACGTAAATGCGCTACCTACTTTGAGATATAAGTTCTGAGGTCACAAGTATAGTTTTTTTTTTTTTTTTCGTACCTCTATCAAACATCAAAGCCAGAGATTCTTATTTACATTTCTTGTTTTAATTTTAATTATAGTTGATACTCCTGCCCATAAGGGGCTTAAAAACAAGGTCACGCATTCATTCCGAGCCTCTTTATCATACCAGTTCTCGCATTTATTCCTCTCTCAAGTATAGTTACAACGGCAGCCCCACCCTTCAAACCGAAACGCATTACTGCTTCACGGTAGAAATAGGCAGCATGGTGGTACCTAACCGCGCGGACTGACAAAAGGTCCTACCACCAGTAATAATAGTGTTTTTACTATAAATTTTTTAATAACGCGATTTAGATTCCGTACATTAAGATATCATTGTTTTTACCATCGCACCGCCCCCCCACTGGAAC